AAATGCAAACAGGGACTAAGATCTAGAAGACAGTGATACCAATAAAGAGTAAATAAACAGACAGCCAGTGAGTGAGTTCTTAACTGACTACGAGAGATAGAGAAACAGAAGGGGACATTGCTACGCATCTACAGCTGGGTGCACACAATAATCAGGAATTTTAATCGCACTCTAATTCCTGATGTGTGTGAGAAGAGAGAGGGGTAAAGTCCGTCAAACTAACTATTTTCTGGACTGTGGTCACGTGTGTTTGTGGAGTGTTGGATTAGTTACTTGAAAAGTTCTATATTACTTGTTACATTTAACAAAGTAACGCGTTACTTTACAATATTACTTGGTGGGAAAGTAAGAAGTTAATTACTTTGTGTTTACTTTTATGAAAAAATCTCAATCTCCCTGTTAGCTTGACTGTCAGAGGAGCAAGGTGAGCCTCGCGCTCTACCAGATAGGCTACTTTCTAACTCAGGTTTGATCACTTTCTCCTTTCATTGGTGGCGTGCTTTCCTGCAACTAGTCTACAAGTGATGCGCTATCATATGGGTGCTTAATAGCCGTATATACTGTAAGCCAAACATCTGTACAGATTTCTATCTTTTCATTCAAAAATCGCTCTCGAGCCGCCAGTTCTGGTCACGCTGTTTTGACAGATTAACTGTAATATACTCTACCCAATTTGAAAAAGTAACACGTTACTTTACTCCATTACTCATAAAAGTAATCGGATTATGTAACGCAATACTTTTGGAACGCATTACCCCAACACTTGGGAGTCTGGCGATGACTTGACCTGTCTCTTACCCTGTGGTATTCATCCTTGGCCTTGCTGAGGAGCTCCAGGATGTCGATGGGGCGAGGTTCTGCGCAGCCATTGGTCCTCCCAGGGACGTTGGCCCTCTCTGGGGAGCCCCGGTGGCCTGCATGGCTTCCTGCTTCACGATCCTGGAGGACAGAGACACACACAACTAAAGATACAAACGTGGAACACTCAAATACACAATCCAATCTCATATCTGTAAAGTGCAAAATAGCTCCCCCAGTGGTGTGTGGGTGATGATGCTTTTTATATGTGTGGGTTAGTGGCGTGTGTGTTTCACCGGCCATACTCACTTAACCATGAGCTGAGTGATCGCTGGCAGTCCTCTTATCGTGAACCAGATGCTGTATATACCCACTGTAGGAGGAACACCGAGAAAGACAGGGAGAAGGTTCACTGGAGCTAGGTGCATCTCTAGGCAGAGGAGGTTGTAGGAATAGAGGGTTCTGCAACTTTATGAGCAAGTTTTGTGACAGGAGTGTCACGTTGCATACTCGTGTGTGTGTGATAAGAAATTCTTGCCAGGTTTTCCCCTCAGAGGCTGGTAACGTAGCAATGGTAGTGTTTCTTCTCATCTACCTGGGGAACCCTGGGACGTGTAAACAGGTGTGTGTCTAAACAGGCCACATTGTCTAACCTGTTGAAGCACTGACACACATCCTCCACTAACAGATGTGTGCAACGAGAGAGAAGGCAGGACACAAACCTGAACTGTTTGAAATCATGCTAAACAAAATAATAAGTCACGATCCCTTCACAAGTTACAAGGATAGCCAAGAACCCCTCCCTCCCTCCCAAAAACACTT